CATGGCTGCTGAGACATTTTCATAGAGCAGATTTTCATAGGTAATTAAACATTATAACTTCAGAAGTCTTTACCATAATTGGATACTAGGCCAAAAGAGAGGATGGAACTGCTGAAGCATCCAGACAGGATTTTATTTGGATTAAGCACACATATGTGGAAATATAACTTGTTTACATGTACACAAGGATCTTTTCATGCTGTGACTGTCGGATTGGAGCAAGGCATCCAGTCACAGCATCAACTATTCAGTGGGGTTTAGACACGGAGAGTAAGTTGTTTGCTCTCCTTATGTTGATCTGCTTGACTTTCTGAAAGCAATACGAATGGATGTCTGCTTACAAACTTGCTGAAATGTGTGATTTAAAAACCAGACAGAATTCTGGCAAATACAGTAGACATGACAGTGGAAGTAGGAGATGGCAGATGCTTTAAATAGGAAACCACGTAGTAAGATCGGGTTGCTACAAAATAATGAATTCAGTATCTTCTGATTCTTTCTGATCTTCTGGCAGTTACCCCACAGGTCCATTAAGTTTTCAGCAAGAGAGATCACAGAATACTTCCGCCTTGTCTTGTAAGGCTGCAGCTGGGCACAGATATTTCTGAAAGTTATGGATATTGCACGGGTGTTGAAATAGAATTAAATGTCTCTGGTCTATCTGGGCTGTTGCCTGGTTGGGTAGCTGCTGTTGGGCCCATTTTCCAGCAGAGAAATCTGATTCTCGAATAGGTCATTCCATTACCATTTGAAGACTTCTGAGGCTTTTGAGTCATATTTGACTCCATTTCCTTCTTCCACTTAATATTTATGATCCAAAAAAAGCAGCTGTTTGAAAAATTCTGATCTTAATGGTGATTTGAAAGTTGCCTTTCCAAACTGGCTGATTTAATTATTCCCCAGCCATGTCATGAACTCCGTTTGGACGTAACGAAGGAAGCAAATGAAAGACCCCTGTTTTAGTTTGCATTGAAACTATATAATTGTACAGGTGACCCTTGCTTAAATGCTTGCTCTGTGAGCGTTCCAACTTAACAATGGCGCTGAACAAGTGGTAGTTATAACGACTCCTCATATTTACATTGGTTGTATCATTTCATTGGTCAAATGTTCATAATTTTTTCCACTAAGCCAACTGGTTACATGACGTTGTGCTTTAATACCGTCACTGATCAATGGAAATTCCAGTCCCAGTTTCCCTCGTTAAATGAGGATGACCTGTTCTGTGTCTCTCCACTGATATGATTGAATTACTTCATTGTAGCAGAAGCAACATTCAACAAAATGGGGACTGATGCTTCTCTGTGCAGGTCAATTTTCATCCTCACACACATTCTAAGCAAACCTGTTGAATAGTATGTTGTGAATTCCGATTTGGCAAAAACCCAATGCTGCCTGAAATGAGTTCAAACTTAATTCAGAAAAAGAAAAGTGCACCTCCATCATACGTTTTTAGTGAAAAGCGACCAAGGAGCAACTTCCCACTTTTTACACATGTTACTGCTTAATGGACCACCATCGCTCTGGCTCTTAGAAAGGAATAGCGGTCTTTTTCTATTTTTGTTTCTAAAAATCTGCCTACTCTTGATGGCTTAGAAGTGGGAGTAAGCCCAACTGAGTTGAGTGAGTTTAGCTCCAAGGTAAGCGGGCACAGCTTTATAGGCTTAGCCTGGCCATTTCTAGACAAGGAACTCATTGTGCTATGGCTTGCCTTATTTGCTGATTTTTATGAAGGCTCCAGACGACCTTTTCCCATTTGTGAATCCCCTTTGTCTTCCCAATCTTCCTTCCACCCTTTTTCCTACTGCAAGACATCCTTGAAAGAGAGAATGTTGGAGTGGCTCCATTTAATACCTTTTGTCTGGCAGTGTTGATGCCATCTGTTTGAAGGCCCCCTTTCCCAGATAATTGCATTATTTCCCGAAGCTTCCGGCCTCTTTCTTCTTCTTTACTTTCGTTCTATTCTATAAAGCTTTAATTGCTAATTTCTACTTATAGCAAAGTGGTTACTTTGAGCTGGAGGCTAGGTGGTGTTTACATTCATTCTGAAACTATGAATACGAACGCCGCTGCTGTTGTCTACCTCAGTGATTGCTGTTGTGTGGCCATGACTCAACTGAGGTCAAAGCAGGGACAGAAGAGAGAATAAGGCTAATTCTTGGTTGCTAAAGTTTTTCAGGAAGAGCAGTACTATATAAAACAAGGGTTCAGTTTATAGCTCAAAATCTCAACTGTCTATTCCTGGTTCTCACCTTCCTGCCCCTTCCACATTTATAAAAAAGTTGATGATTGCAACATTTTTTTTTTCTATTTTGGAGGTCTCGGTGTCTAAATAAAGAAAGTTTTAGCATGGTGCACAATTTAATGGGAACTTGGAAGACCAAATTTAAATGTGACCCGGGGTTAGATCCTTTCCTAAAGTTGCTGGTTTTGCCAACAGGAGCTGCTTTATTATTAGTTACTGAGGAAAGAGGAGGTTAAGGAAGGAACGATGCTCAAAGGATGCTAACCCTGGGTGGTTGTGGGACTATAATGCTTCTTTGGAGGTTCTAGCAGGAGAGTGCAGCTATCATATACCCTTCACGGAAGATCAGTATCTGGGATGGTTGTCCTCTTTCACTGAAGGAGACACCCCCCAGCTAGCCATATTAGCTGAATCAGTCCTGGCAATCAACAAAGGGACAGATGTTGCAGCCAGATCCCCCTCACATATGACTGTAATGCTTAGAAGTCTCCTTACTGCATTAGCCCAGCCTGAAGGAGAGTCTTCCTTGCCTTCAGGTACGTGCAGTTAATGCACACAGTGTGGCTTTTAGAGATGTGGCACTTGGCCCTTTCCCCCAGAAAATCCGGTCCATTTTCTCCACTTTAGAATTGTGGATTGGATCCTGTCAGTGGGCTTTGAGAGCTGGTCTTCACATTTGAAGGGGTGTGCAGACTGGGGTAGCAGGATCCAGTCTGGGTCGGTCATCGGGTCCAGAGGTTTAGTCTTCTGAGCTTTCAAAGTCATTCTGGAGCCTATCCTCAGGGACATTCTCTCTCACCAGAATGTGTGCTTTGGGCTATTCCATGCATAGAATTTATGGGTTGTGTAGTTCCGTGTGGCTTTTTAATTGTTGGCTGGATATTAAGTCTTTGGCTGTTTTTTTTCTTTGTGCTACCAAGTCTTCAGCTCCTAATTACTTGATAAGCTAGTGGTAAATCAGTATCCCCGTTGACCGACAAGGGGACTGGACTCCAAGGAATGAGTTCCAGCGGGAGTCCAAAAACTTGGGAGACCAAGCCTCTGGTCCCATGACCAACCCAGACTGGATCCTGCGACATTGTCCTAGGACCTGTATATTTGCCTTCATTCATGAGACTGAGGTAGACTGATGAAAAGCTTGCAAACTGTTTCCATAATGGGGCATTTAATATGGGCAGATATTAAAAGAGCAAGGTTGAACCAAGTCTGAAAGTAATTGTTTTCAAGAATCACTCTCACCTTGGTTTGCAGGAATGTAGTTTTCCTGGGGCGGAAGGTTTCAGGATTCAAAAGAAATGGACAAACATTCCTGATCTAGGGAACTTTCATACATTCAACTTGATTCATTTCTCCCTCCCTGCCCCCCCCCCAAACGAAATTAAAAATTGTTAGTGCCATTCCACCACAATACCAATGTTTCCCTTGATCCTTTCAGTTGATCAGTGTGAGAATGCCAAAATCAACATCAGGCTGGAGATGTGCCCTTGCTTAGCAGAAGATCTTCTGAGCAGCTGTGGTGTTATTAAAAAGCAAAGAGGTGATATCAGTCCCAGCTTAGCCCCTTTGCAGTGGAGTGTAGTTTTGATTTAGTGTTTCAGATACAAAACATTTAAATGTTTGTGCCATTCTTCATGACAGATGTGTTCTTAGCTTTTATGGAACGTGTCAAGCTTCTTGGCAGTAAACTACATCTGAAAATGCACAGTTCTCACAGTGTCTTTTTCACTAAGATTTATTGAGAAAATTCAGTCCTGCAATTGAGCTATTTCCTTTCTGGAACCTATATATCTTTGTATAAAATATAGTGGCTTCTTTTTGTCTTTCTAACTGCCTTCCTTTGATCTAATGGAGTTTTTCACTGATACCAGGGATATTTTGAGTTGTCTGTTCACATAGTGCTTTTGAAGAGTGGTGGGATTCAAATATGTGAACAACTGGAGTTCTCTGTGTGGATGCCGCTTCCTGAAGTCCATTCTGGGCCTGGGCAACAAAAAATTAGCTACCGGTTCTGCCAAAGGGATGCGAACCAGCTGAATCCCACCACTGGTTCTGGACTATCTTTCTACAAATCCATTCCTCTCTATATGGTGTGACATATTTACCATGCCTTTATCTCACTCAACTTTTGGCACAAATTTTAGTTTTATAGACTTGTTAAAATTTATAAGAGGTCATGTCATACCAAGTTGAATCTAGGAACAATTCTTCCAACTGAATGTTTGACTTGACACTCCTGTAAAGGTCAGGATTATATATGAAATTTCATAAAAAATGTGTGTTGCATTATTTCTGAACTGTGAATCTTTCAGATACATTACATATGTGTAGCATGAGTATGTGTGTATACATGTATGTATGCATTCATGTATGAAATCTCCGTCAAGTTAAACTTAATCCATTGACATGACCATTTTGGCAACAATGCGGACATGGTCTGCCTTTGCTGAATGGTGGGATTTATTTATTTTTTAATTCATCCTGGTACGGTCTCATCCAAACTTTAATCAAGTCTAACCAAACATTGCTTTTGACATCGACCATAGTTGACCAGGTGCTAAAGAACCACTTTGAGAGCTCGCTCCATGTATTCTATAGCTTTTGATCAGGAAATAATCCCCACAATTGTATCTGAGCTGTTACAATCATGTTTTGCTTTTTTTTCCATACTCTTTGTTAAAATGCAAGTCAGTCTGCCATCTGACTTGAAGGATATCTGATTCTTGCCATTGAAGCCTGTTAAAATTACTGATTTCAGGGGAAAACTGCAAAGGAGGAAGCAGACATGCGGACCTTACAGCTAAGGAGCCTACAATTCTTGGAATGTTATATTTATCTCATTCTGTTCAACGCGTATCTTCACTTGGCAAAAAAAGACTCCTGGGAGAAACCTTTCAGCGTCTGGATGCATGAGGTCAGTAGTCTTAAATACAACTGATAGCACTTGGATAACATTTTGTAGATTTTTTATTTTGATGAGTAATGCTAATTTTAGTGAATGGGGAGGTCAAGGAAGGCAGGAAATGAATATTCCTGTATATGAAGATGAATTTGCTCTCAACAGGAATCATCATCTATTTCCCTTTCTCACAGTTTAGATAGTGTGAACTTTGCCCTTAATCACATAGTTTCTGGGTGCAGTTTTTCAGATCAAAATTGGTTGAGATGCATATATATTGTTTGCACATGTTACAAAGCAGTATATTATTCTCCCTGGATCCTTAGATGAATAACTAATAGGATGCAGTGAGGATCTGGATCTGAAAATCAGTGTATCAAAGATCAAGCAATAGGGAAAGTGGTATGAACTTGAAACTTAAACATAAATAACCAAAAAAAATGAAAGCAAGTGGATTAATTTTCATACCTTGGTGTTACAATAATTAAAGATAGGAAAGTGGGGAAGAAACACCAGCTGTGATAGAATAGTTGGTAATATGTGCTCTGTTACAAGAAAGAATTTTGTCAAGAGAATAAAAAATGCCAGTAATATATTTCATTAATATTTTCATTAAGTTGTATGCATTGGGAAGAAGTGTGTGTTGAAAAATAGGAAGAGAATGGGTCAAGAATGAAGGGAGGTGAATTAATATGACTGGAAAACACAAGTACGTAACAGGTACAAAACAAGTATATTAAAGTGGTTTAATCCAGGGGTTCTCAATCTATGAGCCACAGCCTATTGGCCACTGAGTTGGTGGCCAGTGGGTTTGTGTGTGCACATAGCTCCGTTCACATGAGCATTGCTGTGAGCATCACAGGCATTCGTGGCCCCACTTATGCGAACGCCATGGGCGTTCATGGCCCCACTCATGTCAATGTTCATGGCCCCACTCGCACAACTAACGGGTGTTTGTGTGCATGCATGCGTACAAGCATGCGTTCACCCCCTCCAAAAAAACATCCCTTCTTTCCCCCCTCCCCCTGCTCTGGGCTGCCAGGAGAACTCTGGTTTAATCATATAGAGCAGAGATCCCCCAACCTTTTGGGCACCAGAGACCGATTATGTGGAGAGAGATTTTCCGTGGACCGAAGGGGGCGTGGTTTTGTGTGCTGCCTGGGGACCAGTGGTTGGGGACCCCTGATATAGAGAGTATGAATGAGGATGGAATTGTGGTATGAAGAGTGAATGTTTCAGGAGGAAAGGAAGGATTGGATAAACTGTGATTGGATGGAATTGATGAGCTGAGAAGTTTAAAAGCCAAAAAGCAATTACAATATGAGTCAAAGTATCAATACGACAGAAGCAAGGATGATTTGCAAGGACGGAAAGAGATGGAAAAGATGTGGTGTGCACTGTTGTAAGCTAATTCCTTCTTCCTTTAGTTTTTTTCCTTATTTGCACTTGTTTTTCATAATGTTTCTTAGGACAAAGGAAACAGAGCGGTGGATATGCATATCTGTACTACAATACAGTTGAATGTCCATAAACAAGTGGAAGGAGAAAGAACCAGTAGTACCTGGGGTTTGTTCCTTAGTTAGAGGAAAGTCATGGGTATGCCATGATTATTGGGACTGGAAGACAGTATAGAAAGGCCAGGAAAGCAGTTGACAGAGAGTGGTTAAAGTATGCATTAGGTGGATCAGTGCCTCCAGATTGGCAGGATTTAATGGGGCTGTCTAAGCATGTCTTGGAGTATCTCGCGGGAACTTGACAGCTTCTGGGTTTTAGGTTTGCAAGTAGACTTTCCATGCTTGTAGATATGCCTTGCTGGATTTGGCATTTAGTCCACCCATCAAGTCCTTCCCAAGGACCTGGGATAGGCAGAAGTTGTTTAATACATTAAAGGTACTGTATTGTGGCAGGATGTACAGTAAATTGTTCCAAGTAAAGCTGACTTTTGCAATTGATTAATCCAGATGATTTTGGATTGCACCCAAAGAGCCTATTACTATTATCTTTGTTCCTTTTGCCATAGTCCACTGGTGGCGAACCTATGGCACACGTACCAGAGGCGGCACTCAGAGCCCTCTCTGTGGGCACGCGCACCATGCCCCAGAGATGGCAACCGTCCCTCTTCAATCAGCCGCCTGCTAACTCACTGAGGTCCCATGTGGCTGGATGCATCCCAGCATGGCTAGTTTCCCTCCCAACCATCCCATCCCTCCTGGCCTCGCATTCTCTCCTTTTCCCGGGCACGACCCACTGCATCACCTCCTCAGCTGTCGGCCGGCTGTCCAACTGAGAGGTAGCTTCTCTGAACTGCTGGCAGCAGGCTGCGGAGCCCCAGAGTGCGCCGGTCGAGGGGCTGGCAGGCTGTGGCTGCTGATGGACACTGTCGGCCCCCATGCACTCGCTGGCCTCTGTGTGCGAGGGCCGATGGTGTCAGGCAGCAGTTGCCCCAGCCCCTGGCTCGCCTTGCCCTGTGACAATGGCACCCCCACCCTGCCTCGCCTCACCCCTCAGGACAAGCGTCCTACCCACTGCCCCACCTGCCGGAGACCTCCTGGATATCCCCCAACCCTGCCTGGCCCCACAGGCGTCCCTCCCCACAAGCAACATCGAGGTGACCATGCCCACCTTGGCCACACCCACCCAGTCTACCATGACCACCATAGCCACACCCACCCAGTGGGCCACGCCTACCTAGCACCTGGCAATAAATAAGTGGGTTTTGGGTTGCAGTTTGGGCACTCGGTCTCTAAAAAGTTCGCCATCCCTGCCATAGTCATTCTACTTCTATTTACAGTTGTTTTTATTTTGTGATTTTTGTCCAGTTCTTTTTCTTTTCTTCTGTCTCCAGGTATTGCAATGTCGGCTATCCAAACTTTTTTTGTCTTTCTTATTGACAGTTGTTAAGTCTGGTGTGTCATGCGGCAGACACTTGTTTTTTGAATTCTAACATCCCAGAACAATTTAGCTTCTTCATTTTTTATGACTTTGTCTCTTTTGTGGTCCCATCAATTCTTGCTTGCAGACAGGTAGTATTTCTTGCAAATATTCCAATGCACCTTTGTTATTGTTGCTGTTGCCATGCCTTTGTTTATAACCAGTTAATGCAGTCTTCTTGCAAGAGCTGGCTAGGTGGTCTATCATTTCTTCAGCTTCTTTGCAACACTTGTTGTCTTCTCAATTCTGATTTTATATGCATTTGTTTTTAAGGCTTGGTCTTGCACAGCCAGAATTAGCCTCTCAGTCTTTTTCTTCAACTTTCCTGCTCTTAGCCATTGCCAGACTTTTGTTGTTTCTTTGTTTGCTCTTGTGCAAGGGTCCTTTAACTTGGCCACTTTAAGATTTGTGGACTTCAACTCCCAGAGTTCCCCAGCCAGCATTTCTGGCTGGGGAATTCTGGGAGTTGAAGTCCACAAATCTTACAGTGGCCAAGTTTGAGGACCCATGCTCTTGTGCTTTAACTGACATTTAAAACGGGGGTCTTGGTGCTGGAGTATAATGTTCTGTATGCTCTATGATCCTGCCATACAGCAATATAGTTTTTCATCAATGAGATAACTGAATAATTACTGTTGACCATTGGATTATATTAAAAATGGCCTGCTATAAAGACTTTTACAAGGAGGACCAACCTTTCCTTTTTTTAAATGTATATGTACAGTGTGGAACAGTAAGGTGACAAAGCTTTACAGGAACAGCTTTTTATAGTTTTGATTCTTTGTTTCCAAATGTACATGGCTGCTCTCTTAATCTGAATCATTGCTCATAGCTGGTTGTAGCTTTCAAAGAGATTCTTCACAGGCCTAAAGAAAGATCCTGCTTTCCATCCCCCGTCACTTTGAATATTATTGTTATGGCAGAATGCATTATCCTTGCATTCCTTGTAGATTCATTCCCATGAACAACAGCTGTTCTTGTAAACTGCTGATGATGTTCATTATGTCTCAGAATATCTTTATTGAGTAAGCCTCTGTGGCAAAGAGCAACGGCTAAGCCAAATGGCTTCAGAGGACCAGGAACTGTGCAGAGCTTCTGACCACAAGCCAGAAATTTTAGCAGCTGTGGACGGGCAAGGGGATAACTATTTTTTGAAGCATGGCCATTTTAATGAGAGTGATGGGGGACAATTGGTGGGTTACAGTTTCCATATTCCTCACTGTTTGATGTCTACAGACCTTGCTCTCTTTGGGGAAATGGCTAAATTTTTTTGCCTGATATACCAGCTGAAAGGATTCAGCTACGTTCTTGCAATAATGATGACCCAGGGTTCAGCTGCAATCCCTAATTCTAAAGAAAGCATACAGTATAACAAGGGTGTCAAACTGCTGGCCCATGGGCCGGATGCATCATAGTGAAACCACGCCCACCCCATTGCCGGAAATGGAAAAAAAGTCACGATACGTCACGACACGTCACGTGACGTTGCGAGTATAAGCAAGACATCTGATCTTACATTTCAATGCACATTTTAATTTTTTGACCTAGGAAACCTCCGTCTACACATTTTAGTCTCATGTGCATCAGATCCAGTATGGAAGTAGGGAATATGCTTTGTTTTTCTTTGTGATAACTACAAATGAGCTGTTAATAACTGATTAAGCAGCACCTTACTATAGTGTGTGCTTTAACCCCTTAGTTTTCCATGCTCTGTATCACCTTGCCAATTGGAAAAGAGCACTTTGAATGGTTCACTGTTCCACTTGGCCAAACTCCATGGAAAAATGATTTAACAAGTGTGCTAACGTAATGTAAATCCCAGCATGGAAATTTTGGAAGGTGTATTTCTGACACACTTAGACAGTACCAGGCTAAAGAACGCCAAGTTGTTACTTGATAAATGGTGATGAAATATATCCCTTCATTTAGAGTGATACAGTGACAAAGTTCAATCCTGTCCATCACAGGGCAAGAAACAACATGTGTATAACAGTTTTGGGGGGGAACTAGTACAGACCACAGCTAACTGTTGTTTGACTCCTTTTATTGTACCAAACCTCCAGAAAGAAAGAAAACTAAAGCTA